ATTTAAAGCGCACGTGTTAATCGATCGATCGGTCTCTCCCCAACATTTTCCTAGACTGTTGAACGCGTCCCTGATTCTCGCCCCCTTCTCGTAGATCACGGACACGCGTTTACGTGCGCGCGTACCCGTAACCCGCCACGCCGTATTGAACGGAGAGGCTATTAAATGTGTTTTTGTTCGAGCGTCATAATCGCGTCTCGAGGACAACGCGTGTACGGAGAACCTCCTTTGTGCCAATCTGTGGCGAAAAAGAGCGAGAGAGGAAACTCTCTTAAATTCTCGCGGACGTATAATGAAAAAATTGCTTTGCAAACGATTCAAGTACAGGGTGTCCGGTAACCAACGATTACAAATGGATTCTTTGATCAATTTGGGAACGATTTTTCCTCAGCGAAAATGTCGAAAAAAGTCATCATTTTTTACAACTTTTCAATATTTGTCATTATGTATCTTTATAACTAAGCCTCAAATTAAAATTTTATTATAGTAAACTCTACCTGAAATTAACTGAAGAATGTAATTATGTTAGACTTTTAATTCGAAAACGTTTAGTTTTCAAAAAACCCATTTTTTTCAATCGCTTATAACTCAAAAATTATTGACTTCTCAACATTTTTGCTAAGGAAAAATCGTCTCCAAATTGGCCAGAGAATCCGCCCTTAATCATTGGTCAGTTAGTTACCGGACACTCTGTATATGCGTCTGGATGTGTTTGCTTCGTTCGCGCGCAAGAACCTGATTTTTGTTGATCTTATTCGCTAATCTGTTACCTGTCAAAACACCTGATTTACGGTGCTCTTAAACGTTGACGAAATAGACGTGATTTTCTATCGACGAGTGCGACAACGTTAATCCATTAGACGTGCGGCTTATTCGAAAGATTCGATTAAATATATATACTCGAGATATCGATCCTCCTTCGAGCACTCTATTAATAATTATCAAGTGCAGATAAGGCTTTGTTGTGAACATAAGGCGGTGAATAATCTGCTGAACAACTGGGACGAGATGTGTATATTCGTCTAAAGAATACATGGATATTCCAATTTTTTTTTTATTAGAGAGAAAGAAAGAAAGATTTATTATTTCAGGAGAAACTCGTTATCTCTCTCTTAAATAAAAACTTTGAAGAATTTGGAACCAGACGAACATATCCCTTCAGACTTAATTAATCTAATGAGCGTATTAAATAGATTACTATCGTATCTCTTTGAGGGAGTGTATTGAATTAAATTAAAAAAAAATGTGCACAGAGAAAGTATAATGACTAAGCATAAGAAAACTGCTTTCAAGCGACTAAAGAGTGTTAGTACACTAAGTTCAAGTGAGTGGAAGCGAGTCTGTGAGTGAGATCTCTCGATTTAAAATCCGACTTACTTTCCAATCTCACTCGCCGTTGTTATAAGTAGAAGCAAAAAATAAATTACAACGATATAAACAATGTATACATAATAGTATCAATTACATCATGAAATAATTTTTTTAATATAATGTTAAAAAAAATTCCTATATTTTATCTCATTTGTCATAAATATTAATTATTATGCTAAATCTATGAAATATATTATGAATTACTTTAGATAATATTATTACGAAATACACAATATGATACGATATACGTACCTATTATATGTACATACGTGAAAAGAGAGCAAGGTTTTCTTATCTATTTTTTTAAAACAAGGATTAATTGATCACAGACTCAATTTTATCAACATTTAATTAACTTCGTAACCATTGACATATTAATTGCGATTAAAATCACTACTTTTTCTAGAACACTGACAAAATTTATTGAATTTGAATAAATATTTATTTCAATAGTGCCTAATAAATCAATTATTTAAAACTAATAATATTGATTTGAGATGTGAAAAATATCTATTTTTATATAAGAAAATCCTTTTCACAACAGATAAAATTTATTTGTTTCAAATAAATCATGTATTAAGCAGTATTGAAATAAATATTTATTCATTTAATAAATTTTTTCAGTGCATTTGAGATCAAGAAGACATTTGATGTGTGATTTGTATACGATATGTACGAATAAGACGATTGATATGTAATCACGCGGATTCACGTAAAAGTGTGCGATGGAAAATAGTCAAGAAACTTCAGATGAGAACGTTTCTCTGCTTTTACGTAAAGCCAACATTACTTACGGAGTGACTACGAGAGGCGCAAAACTCAACGTATGCACGTGGTAATCCAATATCGCAAAGACACTTTCGCACGCGTGGTCTCGTCTCTCTAGCAACATTTATTATAGTGTTACCATGCAACAGTTGCTCCCGAGAACCTGTTGGTCGCGGCCAGTAATTTCTGTCGCGATTCGCGAGAAACGCAGTGCGCGTACGTGATGAAAAGAGTTTATTCGGAATTGGACTCGAATATGTCGATGACTGCATTTTGCGTTTTAGAGTTTGCAACGATGCATTTCGTTCCTTTCAGAGGATAGATTTTCGAAGTAATAAAACATGGTTCGTGTGAGAGAAAGTCGTATAAAACTTCTACCTATTCAATATGCTCGTATGACTTATGTTATTGATCCAAACATTTCAATTGGAGGGGACCCTTCTAGACAGGTCTCTCCTCTCTGCGTTATAATGTCCTTTGGAACTGTAATATTTTTTCCTCAGCCGTATATTTTTTTTCATTATCTGGATTTTTCTAAAAATTGCACTCTTACTTTACAATGTAATCATAATAATTCCTTTTCGATCATTTTTCTCAGATGGTACGATAAATTCGAAGAGTCTTTTCTATCCAAAAAATTATTTTAATCTTTTAATTTACCGTAAAAATATATATATATATATATTTTTGTACAATTGAGAGGGATAGACAAAAATTTCATTTTAAAAAATCTTGGATAATTTCGGAAATTTTTGAGTCGCCGAACGAGCTCTCGCGATTTAAAAAGCGTATGCGTGTTCGCCCCGAATACAAGTGCTTACTCGCGCGTATCCCATTCTTTTCGCTTCCTCGTGTTCGCGACGTGAGTCTCCTCGCGTAAAGTACGAGTATCCTGTGGCGCGGTGTAACGTCCGAGACCATCGGAAATCGTGCATCGGTGGAAGAACTCCCGCTTCCCGCCGGGTTCTCTCGCACGGCCGTCCGTGTTTGCGGCAGCCTGCGCGCAGGGTAAAGCACGTATTATGAACGCGCGCGCGACACGACGCGGCGCGGTGTGTGAATAGCGAGCACGTGCATTTCCCACAGAAAAGCAATGGGGGCCTATACGCGCCGCAGCGTGGCCAGCTGGGAATAACCGGGGTTCGGCTCCGCTCCTTCAGGGTACGTACGCGTTGTAGGGATGGTCGTCTTTTTTTAAAAGAAACATATCGATAATTTTATTCATCGAATCATTGTCGCCGCGATATTGATGCTACGATGAAACGGCATTGGAAATACAATTTGATAAACGAATGTGACTACACTGATTAGGGGACCTGATTATTTAAATGTGGTAACATTGATTTACTTTTAGAATTTTTTATTACTTAAAATTGGATTAAACATAGCTCCTTTTTTGAAAAGTCTATTTTTCAAATTACAATTTGTTTTTCCCAAAAAATAAAATATATTTATATATATATATATATATATTCATATTTGTTTTGAAAATTTAATATTAAATTTTTGATATAAGAAATCTCGAGATATATAATAAGGAATTTTTTTTTGTATTATTTAACTGACAAATTATATAAATGTGTGTGTAAATTATTCATAAAATTAAAAGAGAGATAAATTAATATATGCGTGTATGCATTTATTAGTTCATATTTCAAAAATATCAAAGTAAGTTTCCTCTTCTCTCGTATTATGAGATACCTTAATTTTAAATTTACGAAACAAGCAAGTATATGTTCTGTATTAATATCTTCAATTCTTATTGTATACAGCTGCTATAAACTTAAATTTATTAACACGAAGGGAGATATCGAACAAGAAATATGGCCTTCCCAAATTATTCAAGTATCGTAAATGATTCCAATATGTATTATTATTACGTTGCCGAATATAAAGATCGCGTGCCATACGTCAAAGACTATATATATATTGATTGACGGAAATCTATTCGTTCCTAGCAAGAATCGATTACATGAGTGTGATCTTGGCAAATGGTAACCACTTTTCTGTCGCAAATGCAAAAGTTCATACTGCCATTTAAACTCTTGGCAGCATATGATTGACGATGTATTATTATTCATTGCGCATTATGTCGCTGTAAATCCGATCGTTTTAAATGTTGACGTTGTATAATAACTATTAATCTCTGCCATTGCTTAGTATTAAAGTTAGGCTAATACTTTTTAATATTACTAAATGCATTTAATTATATAGTTAATTCAATGCATTAAATATACAAACATTTTATTAAATATATAATATTTAATGTTTATTTCAAAAAACTTGATAGGCGAAAGTTTGACGTTTTTGATATAAAAATGATTGATTTCGAACTCCTACATATTTTTTATTTTTATGATCATTTATATATTGATGTTCTACATATATTAAACCAGAATTAAACTTTTGTTTAACATATGTAGAACATCAATAGATGTAAAACATTTATATATTGATACATTTATATACAATATATGTAGAACATCAATATATATCGGAACATTAATATATAAATGATCATACAAGTAAAAAATATGTATACATTTATATATAAATATATATATATATATAAAATATATTTTGCTATTGAAGTTGTACAGAAAGGACTAAAATATAGAGTTAAAACGTCAATCGTACGCTTGCATCACACTTTACTATTCGACTAATACGCCAACTCCGCAGTTTCTAACACAGTTATTTCTATTACGATCATCAATACACACGCATACGCACCGTGATTCTCCAAAAAGATAATTTTATCTCGCGGAGGGTTAAGATGAGTCATTTTCTCTGTTTCAGTGCGCCAATAAGCCGCGCGTTCGCATCTACCTCGTGCAGGCTGGTGGTCATTTATAGAGACAGAGAGAGAAAGCTTTTTCTCGAAAGATTGGTGGTGAGACCTTATCAACAACGGCGGCGATCGGCGTCGGAGTGCAGCCGTTATCATCCGGCTACCATAGCACAGTGCCACCCCAAAACGGAAGGGGTGGTTCGCCACTTCGTGTCGCGGCGATGGTAGCAGCTGCCTCCGCTACGGCCACCGCCACTGCCAGCGTGGTGGCCATGCAGGACCGCCAGGATATCCCCGCGCAATTCAATCAAGTAAACGTTTGACTAGCTCTCATAATAACGTTATCAGTGACGTTTATTTTGATTTATGTGTAGAGCGTTTATACCATATAGAATATAGTAAGTACCAAATTTAGTGTAAACAAATTTAGATGAAATCGACAAGATTCCTTATATACATACATTTCCATTGTCGTTATTTTTTTAAAGCAAAATTCAAAGAAAATGTAAAAAGAAAAAAATTTATATTTTATATTCTGATATTTTAAACAAAAATTGAAGGAATAATCGGTGCATAAACATCAAAAAAAAATTTTTATTATATAAGCGATCTTGTTGATGCAATTTATCATGATTTATTAAATTATTACTGAGCAAAAAAGATTGCTACTACGAAAATGAATTTGTTATAATCTCGTAGTATTTACCTCAGTATCTAAATGCTTTGCGTTTTTCGCATAGAGTAATTTTTATTTCATTTAAAACTTTGATGAACTTCTAAATAAAAATGTGTCGATTTTTGCTATTAGATGCAGAGCCAACACGGAATGCCCCCCCAATCGTACAACTTGGGGTACGGCCAAAGAGGACCAATGACAGGAATGGGGCCAGTCGCGATGAACAACTTTAACGGCATGGGCACGATGAGCCCGATGCATACTATGAATTCCATGAATTCGATGAACAGTATGAATGTCGTGAACTCGATAAATCCTATGACAATGGGAGGCATGAACGGTATGAACAGTATGAATGCTATGAACGGAATGACACCCATGAACTCCATGAGCAATATGGGTAACATGGCCATGAACAACATGATGGGACCCAACAATATGCAAATGAATAAGATGCAGGTATTTATCAACGATTCAATCTAGGCAATCTAAATATATTTAATTGCATTTTTCCTTCATTTTACCGCATAATTCGCTAAAAAGACAACAGTATTACTTATTATTGAAATTATTTTGTACCTATCGTCATTTTTGATACTTAAAATTATTTTGAGCTTGTGTCAAAACAATTAGTTAAAGAAAGGCACTCCTTTGAAACGAATCTAAGTAATGTATACTATTAGGCTCAGCCGCATCAAGGCTATCCGCGAAGACTAGCGCCCTACCCGACCCCGAACATACACATGACGCAAAAGCGACAGCAGGTTCCGTACCCGAATCAGAATCCAGCGGCTATGCAGCAGAGTTTCAACGGCATGACAGCGTCACAATATCCGAACAACTATCCTACCCCGACGAGGCCGAACTTTCAGCAGCAGTATCAACCTATGCAAAACATGCATCCTACGGCGGCCGGTTTCGGGCCCGGCGCAATGATACGAGCGACGAATATGAGGCAAACAGGACCGGCTTACAATACCGCGTCTCAGACGGCCGCCGCGAACCAATATAACTACGGCGGTAACGGCGTTCCCGGTGTTTGCATGGTCCCACCCACCTCCGTCGGCAATCAATTCGTCGGTCATCAATCGAACACGGGATATGGCGGCGGTAACGCGTCGTACGGCGCGTCCAACGTAGCGACCAGTCAATATCAGCAAGATGTAGCGTCGATGAGATCGACGAACGGGGGTAATGTGAATTATCAGCACAGTCCTATTCCCGGCAACCCGACGCCTCCGTTAACACCCGCCACCAGCATGCCGCCTTACATCAGTCCAAATCCGGATATCAAGCCTAATTTCAACGAAATGAAATCGTCGAACAACATTCAAAGTAAGCACATATATTTAGAGCTTTACTAATTTTTGGTAACAAATTATATGGATAATTCTATATGGGTGAGTCTATATAAATGAAGGATATATCATATATATAATCAGAGAATAATATTAATTTTTCTACTTTTCAATTATACGAGAGACTATTTTGTTGTGTCAGATTTGACACATTTTATATATATAGTTTATTAAGTAAAATAGATAATGCGCGCTTATATTATACACATGTAAATCCTACTGTTTCTAGATGATGAATTGAGACTAACATTCCCCGTGAGAGATGGCATTATTCTTCCGCCCTTCCGTCTAGAGCACAATTTGGCTGTTAGCAATCACGTATTTCAACTGAAGCCTACAGTACATCAAACGCTAGCATGGCGGTCGGATCTTGAGCTACAGCTTAAGTGTTTCCACCATGAGGACAGGCAAATGAGTACGAATTGGCCGGCGAGTGTGCAAGTCTCCGTTAACGCGACTCCTCTCGTGATCGATCGCGGGGAGAACAAGACTTCCCACAAGCCCCTCTACTTGAAGGACGTCTGTCAGCCAGGAAGGAACACAATACAGATTACCGTAGCTGCGTGTTGTTGTGTAAGTTGTGTGAGGGCGCCGATGATTAAAAAATCTTTTTTAAACGAGGTAATTTAAAAATACAAAGATATTCTCTCAGCATGCTCGGGTTTTCGTTTCATGATATCAATCGCTTTGATGTCAATTCAATATATTATGTAAAAAATATAAATAAATAGGTGATATATTTTTTCATCTGTTTATTTATCTATTTTTATTTATTATTATTTATCTATTATTATTTGTTATTATTTATTATTATTTTTATTATTTATCTATTATTATTTATTTATTTATTTGTTATAAATATTGTTTCTTTCTTTTAATTTTTTGTTCTGTTTTTTTGTTTTTTTTTTATTTTGACACACTTTGTTTTATATGTAGATAAAGTATAATTTCCAGTCACATCTATTCGTACTCCAACTGGTTCATCGACCCAGTGTACGAAGTGTGTTACATGGATTGTTACGTAAGAGGCTTCTGCCAGCGGAACATTGTGTGTCAAAAATCAAAAGGAATTTTAATAACACATTGAACAATGGTATACAATCGGACAAAGATGTAGTGGAACAAACAGCACTAAAGGTAAGATTTAAAAAGACATTTTGTTTTTTATTTTGCAGGTTTTTTTATTTGATTCCGAAATTCTAATGTGATATGTTAATTATGATTTAAGAGAGAAGAGTCATGCGCATCTTGTTATGTGCAGGTACCTTTAAAATGTCCTATCACCTTCAAACGTATTACACTGCCAGCTAGAGGACACGAGTGCAAGCATATACAGTGCTTTGATTTGGAGTCATATTTGCAATTAAACTGTGAACGAGGTAGCTGGAGGTGTCCAGTATGCACGTAAGTATGACTAAATCACTGAAAATTCTAACGGAGAAAAATGAACACAAATAAATTGTTGCGTATTTTTTATAGGAAACCTGCGCAACTAGAAGGTTTAGAAGTCGATCAATATATGTGGGGTATTTTGAATACATTAAATACCGCGGAAGTTGATGAGGTAACGATAGACGCGCTCGCAAATTGGAAACCAACGAAGAACTTAACCACTATTAAGTCCGAGGAAGAAAACGATTGTAAAAGAACGACCAAGGCTATGTCACCGGGTAGTATGAATATGCCGACTATGAACAGTTGGGATATGAATCCAGTTATGAGTCCTTATATGAATCCGCCCGATATGAACAGTATCGTAAGCGGCTCGATGATGAACAACGCATCTTCAACTTACGCGAATAATAGTATAAATCACAGGAATACGTCAGGTGGAACATATGAGATAAACTCTGGAACAAATACTATCGGCAATAATGATTATGTCAGTGGAGCGGGTCCATTGTCGCACTTAAATGAATCCGTTAACTCTTTAGATCCTCTCAATGCTATGGAAAAGTCGCTCAATGATCAGGTATGTTGCATGTATTGCAATATTGACGTATTCTAACTAAAGCGATATACAAATGTAAGGAAATGGCAATGACTAGACTTCAGATTAAATGCAAATTGCATATTTACTTTTTGTATATTGTACGAGAGCATTAATAATGTGAACAAATTATTTTTACAATTAATTAGTTCAAAATATAATTTCTTCACATTATTAATGTTCTTGTAAAATATGCAAAACGTAACAAATACGCAATTTGTATATAGTCCGAAGTCTATGAAACTGACAGTGTTAAATATGACGTTTATAACATATATTATAGATGCCACATACTCCGCATACGCCACACACTCCGCAATCTACCCCTCATACACCGGCTGGTGGAGCCAGCGGTCCACCAAGTGTTCCGCCTGCATCGCAAGAATCCACAGGAAATCATAACACTTCCGGCAATACGAATATAAATAATGACACCGCGACAGACATACCATCGGATTTAAATTTCGATCCCGCTGCAGTTATAGACGGGGAAGGTACCGGTCAAGAAGGATTAAATGTAAGTATATTGTATCGTGTCAAATAAGAATAAAGAATATTTTAAAAATTATTCAATAACGTATTGTCTAATATTACAGCTGTTGCCAGACAATGTGGACGCAATGGAACTACTCTCGTATTTAGATCCACCGGAGCTAAATACTCCACCTAGTAGTGGCGCTAGTAGTGGTAATCCTTCGAGCAATGATGACCTATTGGCACTCTTTGAATAAGGAGAAAAGGGAGAGATACGAAGCGAGTGGATATCTTGTGACGATGTAATCAAACTATGACCCCCCTCCCCCCTCTCACTTTGGAATAAAGTGATGAGAGAGTTGAGATCTCACTGCAAATGTAATTTTTGACTATTTTTGCGCAAATTTTTCAGGATTTTATTTCCTTACATGAATTGCGCAAAATATCCAATTTCTCACACTCTAATAGCGAGAAAATACTTCTCATAAGTCTATTGGATGCAAGGATTTGCGGTGAAGAAATTTATATTTTTGCGCAAATTTTTCAGGATTTTATTTCCTTAAATGAATTGCGCAAAATACCCAATTTCTGACACTAATAGCGAGAAAATACTTCTCATAAGTCTATTGGATGCGAGCATTTGCGGTGAAGAAATTTAAATTTTATGGGGGTCACTAGGTGCTCTCACCTAATCAATGGTACAAATAATCTTAGTTATAATTATAATATTCCTATTCAAGTTAAGGTTAAAGTTCTAGGATTAAAGAAAACGATTTTTAATGATAACACTCCATACTAGCACTTCCGCTGAAGATATTATTGCATAAACGGCATTTTACTTTTTATCGATTTAAATTGTATTATAAAAAGTATATTTTTAATAATTGCATTCAATAATAAACCAAATATTTTAGAAATCATAAATTTTGAAACAGCATTTTAAATAACAAATAATATTGTAATAGAGACATTCTCTCAGTTGATGTTATAAATCATGATGATGATGATAGAAAATGTTTATTAAAAGATTCATATTCTGAATCTACTTTAAGAATGTATTTTTCTATATATATATATATATATATATAATATGTATTTCTATAGATATTCATTTTATACATGTACTTTTTATCAGAATAATAAATGATAAATTAAATAATGAATAAAAAAATTTAGCTCAAATTGTTTCGAATATTTATTTGAGAGAAGAATTATGCAACTAAATTTTACATATTTTATATTTTTAATTATATATTAAATTCGCTGTTTATGCAATAAGATCTTGCTCAAAAACCGGTCTATTTGCATTCAAGGTAGACCTACGTCACAACAAAAAGATAACTGTACAGAGCTACTTTTGTAAATAATTTTAATCGAAGTAAGGAAGATATTCATCTGTTGGGAATTCCTCGACTATTGATGGATATTATGCATATAGTGTTCCTTTCCTTTAGATTGTAGTAACAAATGGAAATGAATAAAACTAGGGGATATCGGGCTTCACACTGGAAATTTAATAACAATACATATGATGTATCTCCAGAGATAAAAATAAACATAGGTTACATATATAAAATGCAAGATAGAATGAAAGAAATGAGATTGATATATGTAGTGCTTTTTAAAGTTAATAATTTTATTAAATTCTAGCTGCAGAAATATCACACGTGCACACAATTTTGAAATATACATTCAATATATAGTGTGTCTTATTTAAAAAACATTTTTATTATTAAACAAATTTTTACATCATAATTTTCTATTTTAAACAAGATTTAAAACCTTGATGAGAAAAAGGAAAATAGGTTTTTTCTACGCTTTTTAATATTGTCAATCTCTAAAGATACATCAACATATGTATTTGCACATATAGAATTTATTTTCACATTTTGATGTGTATCGATATACCTTGTATTTTGAATCGGTTTGCTAGACGCAATTATATTTTTATATGATGTAAACTATTTTCATTAGGTTAAAATATTTCTGTGCTTTTTTAATATATTTCTGTGCACTTAAATTTTTTTATCGATTTACGACGGTAAATTGCATCGGTTATTGGCGTTAAGTAAATTTTTTCATTATATGATACTTGATAAGAGATATTTTTTTAGGAAATACATCAGTCGTGAAGAGTGAAAGATTTAAATTCTGCAGAAAGTTAATAGCAATATTTACGCAAGGCCTTAAGAGAAATCGTGCACTATAATCCACGTATAATCAAATTTTACATAGGGGAGGAAGAATCAAAACTATTTCATGGGAGAAATATATTGCAGAATAATTATGCACGGGCGCGCTTAAACTTATTATTTACATGGAATCGTAAATTAATGATCGCAATTGCAATAACTCAGCATGCGAAAATAAATTCTATATATCTTCTTGTACAGTCTAGCGGTAAACCTGATTTGTCGTATTAAAAACGTATAAATCAGAGATATATCCGTATATATATATAAAAATATATATGTATATATATATATATATATAAAAAGATACTGCCAGAGTGATACCGCCCAAGGCCCCCTGCTTGTGTAGTGGTTATAAACATTTATATCTTTTGTGATTAAAAGAGAAGATATATATAATACTTAAAAACGCGACACGTATAGATTATACAGATTTTATATAAAAATGTATTTATATTCCAACGTGTGCAAAACGCGCTAGCGCACAATGAAGGATTAGAGACAAACACAGTCAAGTTTCTATTCATATAACTACTACAACTATTATTGAGATTTAGATTTTAATATTACTTGTATTAAGCGCGACTCTTGTATATTATTTGTATATATGATAAATAGAATAATAATATAAGAAGAAATGGCAGATATATACTTATTGGCCAGTTATAATATAGCAAAATAATTCTCCTAATTATTTCTCAGAACCAAAACATACACGAGATGTATGAGAATACTTTAAACTAGAGAATGTAACGTGTAAATGATTGATGAATGGGGCTGACGATAACAAGTACAGTCAAATATTGTACTGTTATTTCTAATAGAATTATTACTTACTTGATAAAAAAACATAATTACCTAAAAAAGTTTATTCAAACTGTAAGCTTTACTTAGGATTGCCAAGAAAAAGTAGTATACGCAACATTGTTGCGATTGTACATAGGCAATGTTTACCTATACCTAGCTAATAATACCCCTAAAATACACACTACACTGTCTTACAATTAGTTTATGAGAGTCGTTGAGATTTATAGGTATTTCGCGAGAAATTAAAGAATGTGAATAAATTGAACGTAAGGACAGAAATTGTCAGTTACATTTATATAATAATTTACATGGCGTGATCAGAGTGTTTGAGAAATATGTAGATTATATGTAGATGTCAAAAAAATCATACGCAATCATCGAGGCTATCTTGGTTTTTTTGATTAACGAAGTTGAATTATTATGTTACTTTTTGCGATTTTTTGCATATGAGAAATGTGGATATATATGTATTATTGTTTAACGAAATTCCTACAAAAATCTCTCTGGCTCTAAGATTACAATATCTATTTATCTATCGTTAAGACAGGCCTATATAATTTCATTCTACAATGTTCTGCGAATAAATTAAACGACCGCGGATTACGAGAAGGCCTGGAAAGTTGTAATAACGAAACAAAGTATTTTCATGTAATATTTTATGTGATCGTATCGACTCATGGTGTATCGGCTACACCAATCATACAAGCTCCAGTATAAATAACGTACGATATATATCAAATTGCATTTATAAAAAATTATAATACCTATTACAATTAAAATAGGAATATTACAAATTTATTTTCACTGTTCCAAGATTTTTAACTCAAATTATGTTAAAAAATTTATGTTTCTGTATGTAATCTCTGTTATTTTTGATCAATGCAAAGAGAGTTCGTTTAGCAAATACATCATGAGTATTGGTATCGATCCGTATCACAAGGTCTATTCGTTTTGACTTTTTTGCGTATTTTGCACTATTAAATGAGTTGCTGTAATTTTTTGTATTACTATTTGAAAAATGAAATGTGTATATTCGGTCTTTTTGAGAGCAAATAAGAGGAAAGAAATTAAGTGCAGGAGCTACAACTTAACGAACAGACCTACAATTTGCTCTCTGTAAAACGGAAATGCGTATTATGAATTAAATGAAAGAAAAGAAACACTCTGATATATCATTGGTTACATACACATAATAAATTTTAATATACAAAGACCAGTTTTTAAATATGTATGACAGACACAACATTGTTTCTTGATAACAGTTAGAATCATTCAATAAAAAAGTCATAAACTAATAAATAAACTGTGAATTTCATTTATTTCCGACAATCTTTGAAATATTATTATAAAATAATGTAGGGTAAGTATTGGCAATGTTATAATATAATTATTCATTTTATTAATAATGCCAATTTAATTATAAAATTTTATTAAAGAGTTATGACATTGAATATATATTTAATTATTTAAATTAGCTTAATTCTGATTGTAAGAATTATTGCTTTGTATAAATTATTGCTTTCAGATGATAATATTAAAAAAAATATTTTGCTCTAAATAAAAATTGTCGCTCTCAAAAAAATATTTTTTCTTTTACATATAAAAATTATTGCTAAAAAATGGGATAGTGAGTTTCGTCTTCTATGTAAGAGGAGGGTGGATTTTTATTCACAGATTCATGTTTTACGCATAAAAATACGCAATATTATAAAAGTTTCGGCAAAATCAAAGCCAATTTTCACAAATCAATTATTACCCAAAATTTAGGAAAAAATTGATGATTGACTCACCGATACGATACCTAACCGATGCACAGCAACGGAGTTGTAAACTGTAAAATATAAATACATGGAAATTATATACAGTAAAATTTAATAATTAAATAATTATATTGGTGAAATAATTGTAAAATATAGTGAAATTCAATAATTAAATCATTGATATTGCAAAAAATAAAATTATTGGCATTTGAATTTAATAGTAAAATTAGTAATAATAAATAATAAATTAATTATACTACCATATAGTTGTCCTGCCGTTGCCCGATGCCATCCCGGGTCTCCTCGTAGAAGAAGCTTCGAAACACTCGCACTCGCGTTATATTTTTTTCGTTCGCGATGCGCGGTGACGTCCGGGTTTTAGCTATCATATTTTCGACGCGTTTCAGTAAAACACGAGAGCTTTTTCGCGCACGAACCGATGCTTCGTTTTCGCGTCGCCGCTTTCCCGAAGACCACTTATCGGAGAGAGCCTTATCGAACGACGAGGCGACTTCCTTCACGACGCACTCAGGAATCGCCGATATTCCCGAATTGGCGAACACCATATACACTGATCGTCTAAATATTACGGACTCCGGTTTACGAGAAAGTTTCGAGCAACGATATTAATATACATATATATAATAATGGTAATATGGCGGCGCGATCTTGTCATAGTCGACCTGCGATTTTACTAGAATTGCGAGCCTAATATTCGTCGCGTGATAATACTTGAACACGATGAAGCGAAAATACGACCGGAAACGCGCAACTGCCCGCTTAGAACACGACCGACAACGTCGAAAAGCTCCGAAATTTCACGTCGAAAGCGCGCGATTATTCTCGCGATTCCCGCGCAAACTTTCGGCGGCTCGAGCTCGGAGCTGTGACGTCACGCCAAGGACGAAGCGAGGGACGAAACCGAGACTCCCGGTCAACGCGACGAAATCAATTTTTCGCGGCTGTGATCGCGATCACGATGTCGAGACACGCGACGCGAGTAGATTTATGCGATAATTAACCACGTAAAGACGCTAATTAATACTCACGTTCCTACTTTTCACCAATTTTCGTCTCGTACTTTCGCGGACCGACGTGATATGCGCGCGAACTCGTTAATCACGAACAATAAAGCGCG